AGCAGTAGCAGTAGAAGTAGGAGTAGGAGTAGGAGTAGCAGCAGTAGTAGTAGTAGTAGTAGTAGTAGTAACACAAATAATAGTAAAGATCATAATGATGATAATGAAAAATAATAGGAGTGATACTCGTAGTAACACACTACTACATACTACGCTATGCTGTTGTCCCATCCGGGACCTGGTTGAAGGCAAGACTTCCTTGTCGCTTCGTGATGAGCGCGGCATTCCAGGCCACGCGCTGCTTTGTCAAGCTCCACTTCGAAGCTGGCGCCTCAGAGCAGAGAGCCTTCCCATCGTCGTGCAGAAGAGGCCGGGATGTCTAAGATCCAGAATCTAAGCATTTTGGATGAGTATCCGATGGGCGGCGGCTGAATAGCTAAATGATTTACTAGAGAGATGTCGAATCTGAATGAAACAATGTCCGTGTATCCAGGAATATAGCCAGACAGCTAGCCATCCATCCACCCCGCCCTCTCTCTTTCTTTCTTTCGCTCTCCCTCTCTCCAACACTATATGATACTATATGTATCTATGCATACTTCGACCTGTTTGCGCATCCATTTCTTTGTGTTTGTTTGGTCGTCTTCTTCGTATTTGCTGCTAAGGTTGTCATTCTTGGCTTACATTTGCTTGCTGGAAATGCGGATATTGGATAGATCAACCCACAGGGGACCCGTGCGACAGGCCCGCGAGCTCATATGCCTTGATTGTGTGACTGCTCGGTCCCAACAAACCTGGTCCCTGAGTGTCCTTCGAAGAGCTTGAAGGTGTAGCGGCCTAAGTCCGACGTACACTGCGAGATAGCTTCCGTCTTCTGAGTTGCAGCTTGGGCGTTGCCTTAAGGATAAAGCAGTTTGTTGCAGCAAAAGAACTGTGGGTTTTGACACGGGCTTGCAATCTGTCTAGTCATGTGTCAGCTGCTCCTTGACTTTCAGCTCTTGAGATCGTGAGTTTTACAGTGTGTTCAGCTGCTTTTTCAGGCTGCCATAGCTGTGGACGGCGCTTGAACTTAAACCACCGAAGGTGACGAGGGCTCCGGCCAGTCCTTGGTCGACCTCCCGCAAACGCGTCCGGCCCTGCCGGCGCACACAGGTGCTGGGTCTGGAGTTGGTGCTGATGGGCCTGTGTTCATCGGCGTTGATCGGCTCAAGGTCTTTTCGTGCTGCCAGATTGCCCGAAGCTGCAGGAGCATGCGGACTGATCTGTAATTAGCGTAGGTTTTTGGTGCTCAGGCTTCATCTGCAGGCAAGCATGCCAGTTCACAGTCCTGGAATCCTAGCCTCGGACCAAATTAGGAAATCCCTGCACATGAAACACTGAGGCTTGAGTTGACAGGCATCTTGACACCCATCACATCTCCCCAAACTTTCTGACCCTGGAATATGGAGGCCACATGACCGAGGAGCGTCAACAGCACACGAAGCATCAGGAAGGTCTTAAGCCATTGTAATTGTGGAACATGAACCCTGGCATGCACCGTGCTAGAAAGTGCGCAGATGCCACGCTTGCATGGCTTTTGCATGGCGGAAGCAAGAGGTTCAGGCTAACGGCGGCTAACGGCCAAGCGATGCCGAGCACCAGGTGCCTCAGCGCAGCGCCGGATGATCGCCGACCGGGCACCTACGGAGGCGGGGCACAGAAAGCATGTTGCCCCGTTCAGCCCCTCAACCCTTTTTCAGGATTCATGGGATCGGCTTTGTAGCTAAAGCTGGGTGTGAAGCTCCAAGCTTGGCGCTTCAAACTGTGCAGGATCGGGGCGATGGCTTGGGTCGCATGTTGGATCCCGTTATCGCGTGATTCTTCTGTCTTCTGGTTCTTGTTTTTGACTGCACATACATCATTAAACGAGGCCATGTGGGGCAAAACGCACTGGAAAGAGGTTTCCATTCTGAGTTATGGGTTGTGCTCGGCTGCGGACACGAGCTTTAGTATTCTGACTATGTGCTGTTGGAGCTTGCACTTTCGACTGTCGTGGTTGAGGGTCAGTCGCAACGGTGAGGAGTGAAGAGTGCTGATGTCGACATGCTGAAGCAGTTTCTTTTCCAACTTGTGTCTGTGTGGTGAAGACACCTAAGCGAAAACGAAACCGACCAGCCGTTGCCTTCGAGCACAGGCGGCTGCCGCCGCAGCGTGCAGAACTCAGTCATTTTGGTTCGGCCGGCTGTCCAGTTGGTTTCTTCAGCTTTCGGGAGGGTTTTAGCTTTACGAAGAGGACCCAAATACAGGCACATCGAACTCCTAACATGCTACCATGAGGAAGTCCAAAAAGTCTCAAACCCGGCGTGAAGCACGGCGTGCCTGAAGTGCTAGCTGCCAGGTACTGGTAGCAACATCAGGACCTCAATCTAAATCCGAGGCATCATAGCAGTAATCCGGAATTCAAGCAAGGGGCGAGCCGTAAACCCACTGCCGAGTCCTGGCCCGATGTCCAATGCCACGGGCAAAGAAGGCCCACAGTGCGAGCGATTGTTCAGCTTTGGGTGTTCCTACCCATCCTAGGACAGTAGAGGGGGCTGAGGAGTCCTGGGCGCAGCCGGTGGCTTGGCAGTCGCACCCCCCCCCCCCCCCCCCCCCNNGTCCCCCCCCCCCCCCCCCCGCTCAGCCATGCCCTGGGTATAGGGGGAGGGGGTGTTAGTTCGGGTAGTTGTGTTTGCAGATCGGCCCAGGGACTCCCAGTGTTCACACGATTTTCCAGACGGTTCATGGAGAACCGACTCTTCAACTCCTGCAGGAAAGCCGAAGTTGAGGAAGCCTCGCTTCATCGAGGTGCGCACTTCGCAAGGGGGTTTGGAAATCTCTGGTCCAGTGTCTCCTTGTATTTCCTGCATGGGCACAAGGACGCAGGCCGCAATGAAGTGTAGCGCTTAGTGCAGATGCCACGCACTTTTGCTGTGGGCCAGGGGTTGGTTTGTGGCAGGTTTGTGAAACTTAGGAGTTCCGGAGTAAGCGCGATTCAGGAGCAAGAGGACAGCTGCCCAGAAATTGCATTATGACAGATTCGCATGGCATTGCCCATATGTCACCACATGTCACCTGTTGCTGTCTTTGGCTCCGGTGTCTTCTATCACTGCCTGCTGCTCCCATGTGTCCAACTTAGCTCCAATCGCCGGATCATCCCTAAGCATGGAGTTGGGGTTCCGAAGTGACGCGAGGTCCACGCCGGGTGAGGAATCAGTGCAGATAGTTTTGCAATAGTTGAGGTGTATTCTTTAGCACCATCTCGCGCTTGCAGGTGAATCGTCTCAATCCGGACTCCCGAGGCCCAGAGAACTTCGTGGCCCGAGCTCGGGCGTGATTCCTCTGAAGTGTTGCCTTCATTTCTGCACTAACTGGAGATGTCTACATATACCTGAGGTCGCTGAAACAGCTCCCTGAATCGTAGACTTTGAAGCACACACTCCTGTGACACTTCTTGCTTATCTTTCATTTTCCGGCCCTGCACAAGACATCAGAAGAAGCCATGGATGTTGCCTTAACTATGGCTGATTGGCATAAAAGACCCCGCTTCGGCTTGTGAAACGACACAATGCACAACTTGTTGGATGGGTTCTTGGGCTTCATATTGTGCACACACACACACACACGCACTGCCAGAGGACTCGACCAACTCCCGTCCAGGTGTCAATGTCTTTGCCAAGGTAGTCCAGGTGTCCCCGGCAAGGGGCCAAGCCGGCCAGGCAGGAGCATAGGTTAGGCTTTCGGACTTGAGCGGCAAACCCCAATTGCTATAAATCCTCGTCCTAGAGGGCTCCGAGGCCTTGAAGCCTTGCAGGGCTTGCGTTTCAGAGGCGAGACGGAATTACGGTACTGCAGGCGAGATGGAGCAAATCGAATGGTCCAACTGGCCCGACAACAGAAGAAGCTGCTGATGGTGCGCTGGGGTTACTAGGAAAACTCAACGAGGTCTGAAATCACAGCTTGTCTTCGTTCCAGGTTGCCGTTTATTTTGTCCTAGACTACGCTGCCGGAGGTTGCTGGAAGTGGAATTCATCGCGCACAGAAACGGTTGACGTGAGCAGACTTGTCAAGCTAGTACCGCTCGTTATTAACTAGCAGAGCCACGTAAACAGAAAGAAATGGAGAATAGTGGAGACTGAATCGTGCAGCACCCTACAGTCTGCAATCAAGTTCTGAAAAGAGAAGCCGAGGTGGCTTCAGATCTTGCAGAAGCCAGGGCCTGATTTGGCTTGCCGCAAGAGCTTCCTCGTTTCATCTGTGGCGGGATGGAGAAGATTTGTCAAACCGACATCAAACTGTTATTCAGGGTGTTCAGGGCCAGCCAGGAAGGTTGCAACATAATCCGTGAGGCCCTCCAGATTCTCAGTTTCAAGTTACCTTAGCAACAATTCCGAGGTAGTCCTCGGAGATGCATCTGCTCGGGTCACTTTTCGAGCCCGAGGGGATCAGGCCTGGTGCTTCGACGTTGTATGCCGGTCTGCTCAAGATTCATTTGGCTCGGATAGTCAGCCATACACTCGCAGCAAGTCCTTGCTTCCCAGCAGGTCCAGCTCTGTCAGCCGGGAAGCATTCTCCGAATTCAGAACGCCTTGGTTGCAGCCCAGCTGCAGATCAAACGCAAGCCTGATGATTTGCCTGGCCTGACGTGCACACACCAAGCTTCGGAACCTGAGCAGCTATACACATCTTTCATGACTTTCTGATGGAGTGTATGGACAGTTGGTAGAGCATTCCTTTCGTCAGGCTTGCAGAGACACTGCCAGCTATGTTATGTGAATCCGGCACCTACAATAATCAGATGAGCCACTGCCACTGTAAACAACTTGCCCCTTCGATCAGGTCATGGTCAAAGGATACATCCGCTGAAGCCTTACACGGGCATGACGCAGAGTCGGGGATTCGGAAGGCGGACGTTGTCGTGAAATTCGTTCAATCCGGGCGAGTTGGTGGATGCTTTTTCTGGAGTTGAAAGCAGACGGTGGGCTGCTTCTCTGAGACTCAGCATCTTGAGGATTCTGGATACAGCAACTTGGCTTCAGTGGGGCTGTGGGATTGTAAAAGTCGGGATTGTACAGAGGCCGGAGGTTTGGGATGGGGATGCGTGCATACTAATCCCTTGCTCGGGAAGCTCCCCTTCGAACTTGATTTTGCTGCGGCTTCCAGACTAAGCTTCGGTCCCTGTCAGTCCCTACTCCGCCCATTGGATGAAGGACCCACTGACCTTAGAAGCGCTTCCGAGAAGCCGGGACATCCTTGAGTGGAAGTTTTGTACCCGATACCAGCCCCTTCTTGCCCAAGCCAAAAAATCCTTTGCTGTGCCATGTCGCCTCCAAGTATTTCTTGTGCGATTGCCCGAAATAGCTTAAATAAATCTGAATAACGAGGCCTAGAGGTCAACAAGTGGGGCGTGGCAAAGCCTGCGCCGGACCACGCCGATTTCGAAGTGGACGCTCGGCTGCTTTCAGCGTGGCGGGTCAGGCGTCCGGGCTGTCCTTCGGCAGGAATTGCACTTGGAATCCTCAGTAAGCTTTAGCGAGAAGGCTGAACAAGCTTCTGCCATGATTCTAGCCCAAAACCCGTTGGTTGTGTCAGCTATCAAGACCTCTGGTAGCCGGAGGGGCGAAGGATTTGAAGCTCTTTCCCACTGTCGACCATGATCGCTTTCGCTGCCAGATGCGAATTGTCATCGAGCAGCCATATCAGCAATACATTTGCCGAAGCAATACCACGAAGCCGTGAAAGCCGAACAGTGCACACGAACGAATAGAGGGAATCGCTCAAACATCTGTAATTTCTGACAGGAACGTAGGGGCCGACCGGGTTCCCCTCTCTCTCTCTCTCTCTCTCTCTCTACGTGTATACATTTATACGTAGAAACATATGTTGCCCTCACAATGCAGCGGAACGTAGTTTTCGCCAGCTGGCTGACACGCCGCCCCATCACGCTTTTTCGGCATCTTTTCGTTCTTCCTGCTTCGATAATTTTCTGTTTGGCGTTTTCCTCGGGTTTTTGAACATTCCTTCTCTGTTTTGTTGTTCGTTCTTGCCCTTTTGCTCATTTTTGCTCGCGAAAAGTTTTGTTGGTCTTCTGGGGTCCAAAACTCGAGTTTTTGCTGTTTTGGAGCCCTTTCTAAGCTGGAGAAGCCGTCTTGACTGCATTTTTAGGGGGGATTCGCCGTTTGTTTCTTAGTGTTTCTATGCTTTCGCGGACTCTCGTCGTCATGACTCCGTTCACTGCCAGAAAGCATCCATGTGGCAACCATGTTAACGTCCACAAAGACTCCGTCCGTTTTTGCAGAGCATCCATGTGGCAACCATGTTAACGTTCAGAAAGACTTCGTCCGTTTTTGCAGAGCATCCCTGTGGCAACCGGCAGAGATTCTGCCAGAAGAAGCTAAGCTTCGCCAATCCCTTGACGTGGAACTGGGCGTATGCTGTTCAGTGGCGCCACAACGACGTGTGCCTCAAGAGTTCCGTTGAGAAGGCGTTGCCTCGTGCGCTCTGGCGCTAGCGTGCAGCCGAACTGGAGTTCGTTCGTGCACAGTCTGAAAAGATTCTTCCTTACATGTTTGACATAGTGTCATGTTTTTTTGCCTAACTACTTCCTTTACGTTTTCGGAATGTGACGAAACGCAGGGCGGCAGGTCAGCCACTTACCTATAGTTTTCGGAGTGGAGCCAGCACGTGCGTTTCTCAGTGACTTGGCGAGATAGTGTTTGGCTCGAGCACTTCCGGCTCGAGCCTCGGATGGAATGCCATGCCCGCGCTGGCATAGACCCTGATGCCTGGGCTTTGTACAGCCTAGGCAATGGAGATTATATCGAGATTTGTGCCTATGACACGAGCAACACCAAACAGGGCATTGTCCTCTGCAGGACGAGATGGCAAAGGAGTCTCAAGGAGCTGCCGAAGATCAATGCGTGGAAGGGCACAGGACTTCCACGCAGACAAGTCCTGGCACGTCCCCTTACGCTACCTGCCTGACAAGAAGATCGAGCGAGGGACAGAAAGTGCTCACCAAGAAGAAGAAAAGGCGAAAGAAAGACCCCGGCCACGGGGGAGCTAGGTCCACTCCGTCTACAGGTGGCAACAGGGGCAGATGGTTTGGCGAGCCGGTCGATGACCCTTGACGGGCACCTCCGAGTTGGGCTCCTCCACCGACTCGACTCCTCCTGCGAGAAGGAAAAGAAGAGAAAAAGAATGCAAAGGCCAAGAGCTCGAAGGACCGGGGACCCTTTTGGGTAATGGAACCAGTCTTCAGCTCCAGCTTCAGGACCAGGGAGACTGGCCGCCAGGCTCCTGCAAAAGATGCATAGCATTGTGGGAAACCATGAACTGGGTGTTGACCGTGCTGGCGCCGAAGCAGCTGCCAGTAAGGAGCCTCACAGCCTCACAGAGATGAAGACGCTGGCGGCAGGTCGGTCGCACTCTGCGGCAGACATCCTGGCCAAGAGGCTGCGGGCCCTGGGCCTCTCGCAAAGCAACACCTCTTGGAACAGGGCCCAGTACCTCTCACTCCTGGCTGCTGGAGAGGGTCCTGATGCGGAAATCCAAGGCGGCACAGGCCAAGACCATCCAAAGGGCGAGGAGAAGACGGGCCAGAAGGGTGAGACAACGGCAAGACGGCGCGCCAGGCGAAGGGCAGAAGGGCCGCCCCGAAGGTGAATCCGGGAGGAGGAGATTCCCGACTACGGGCGATCTTCTGACGCCGAACCTGCAACTAGCAGCAACCGAACACCCTCCCACAGAAAAGGAAAACAAGCTGAGGCCAGCACGGGACGGCCGGCAGCACTTAAGCAACTAGCTTGATCCAGGGCTAGATGTCACGAAGGCCTGGGATGATGCCCTCGCCTTAAAGTCCGGCCTTGGCGCTTTCGCACGCGAGCACTGCAACCTAGAGAAGCTGCCTCCGGGCGCCGAGCCCACCCGGGCCTGATCAGCCCTCATGGGCGTCACTGAGGCGATCATCACCGCCCTCAACTTCCTTTACTGGCTGGCTGGTCAAGGTTTGTTTGTGTTTCAATGTCAAGGTCACTGGGCCGGCGCCACCTCCGAGTGATCATGAATGAAGCTTGACCAGGTTGATCGGTTCATTGGCCTGAACACGAAGATCGGAACGATTGAAGAGGCGGCACAAAAATTGAAGGGGAAGCGGCTTGATCACAAAGGCGAGCCGGTTGATCACAATGATGGACCTGAGTGCAGCGCAGGCTTGGCTCAAGCCTGGCTCAGCAGACTCAGCAGCTGTGGTGGACCTGCAAGATTGTTTCTCCGACAACTTTCAGGAGGCTCAATCCTGTGCCCCATGAATGACGCCATGGGACTTCTTCCGGAAGCGCAGGATTTGTTGCCCTACATCGGCCAAATGATAGCCGTTTTGGCCGAGAAGGGCAGCTACTCGGCGATCGACTCGGAGGACCTCCAAAGCGCCTTCAATCTCTTCCGGCTCTCTTCGTCTCGGGGCCGTTCTTCAGCTTTGTCAAGAAGGTCGAGGCGACGCCTTGGGATTGTCGAGGAACACCCCAGGTGGTAGCCAAGGCACCTTCCTATGGGGATGTGAGAAAGAATCGGGTGCTCCCAGAAGCCGACGATCACACCATCCTCTACCTCGACAACCTTGATGAGATCCGCCGTCTGACAGAGGAGATTGCCCAGAAATCTGAAAGGGCGCCCTCTCACTGCCTGTGAAGTGTTGGGACTGCCCCGCAACCTCAGACAGCAATTCAACGGCTTCCTGAAGGGAACCCTCCAAGGAGGTGAGATCCTTGGAAGGGACGAGAAGACTTGTGAAGCTCCACGTGACACTTTTCTTTTCTTGTCATCGTGGTGTTTGCTAATTCTGTTTTATGCTAGCATGCTTAAACAGTTGTTACATGTAGCTTGTGGCTCCAGCATGCATGCACGATTTTTCGCAGAACATGCATGCATGGACAGCCACAGCGAGCACGCAACGCACTTTTTCAGCACTTCGGCAAATTTGCAACAACACGTGGGGTAAGATCGGCCTTTGCAGTGTGCCTGCCAGCTTGCACCTTTGTTCTTGGAAGCCGCCTGCTGCCTAGATTCCTGCCCCTTTCCCTAATCCTGCCTGCCCCTGCACAGGTACTCTTTCTGACCGCCTGCCTTCGCCTCAGCAAGCGCCCGCCTGCAGTCTTAGCTGGTGCCTTTTTTGTCCGGCCAGCTTACCTGCACGCCGGCCACTACCTTCAAGTCATACCTGCACAGCCCTGAGTGTGCCCGCCCCCTAGGCAACCGCTTTGAGATGCCTTTGCTCTAGGGCCGCCTGCAGCAAGCCGCCTGACATGCTATTGCATGGCTCTTCCTTTGTTTGCCTGCCTGCCTCGCCTGTCTGCTTGCTCGGAGCGCGTTTCTTGCTTGCATGCTTTTGAGTCACATGCTACATTACCTATGTGCCGTTGGGCGGGAGAGGCTGCCTTCACCGCGGCTTTCCGCAGGCCTCTCTTTGCGCTCCTACAGGAGGCTTATGGTGTCTGGGATCAACTCGCCAGTTTCTGTTGATGAAATCTTGGTCCTCTCCATTCTGGCCCCTCTCGCCGAGACCGACCTCTCCTCGGAGATCTCATCCGCGATAAGCTGCACCGACGCAGCATCGCTTACGGGAGGGGGAGCATCGATTGCGGAGGTGTTCAAGGACAAGTCGCTCCTCTTGCCTGAACCGGTCGAAGACGCGAACCTCTGTCGAGCCTGATCGCCACACTTTCTCGACCGGGGGGCTGGATCATGGATGAATGGGGCGATCCGGGCTCCTCGGGTTTTTCGTGACTACGATCGACAGGAAGGCCTCCCAAGCCTTTGTCGAGATGATGCCGTGACCCTGTGCAGGCCAGTGCAATGGCCAAAAAACCAATCAAAGGGCTGCTGGAAGCTGCATGCAGGGAGGGGGCGTTTCGCTTCTTTCGAGCACCCTATGATTCGTTCATTGGGCGCCTGCCCGAAACGCACGGCCTCTGCGGAGATGATTGGCAATGGACGAGCTTTTCCTTGTGCTGCTTCGGAGGAGAGCACAAAGAGTGGGTCACTATCGTTCACAACTCCCCTTCATTCCACGCCGTCCTTCACAAGCCAGTGTGCAAGGGCCGGGCCACTCGCCTCCAGAGTAACCTCGAAGCCATGCCTAGTTCTCATGGAGGCGGTTCACGATGAGCTCTCGCGTGTCTTCACCGAGCCCTTTGGTGCAAAGCAGCTTTTCCTGCAGACTTTGATGCAGCACCAACTGTATAGGGCAACGTTTGACGGACCGAGGTGAGGATGTGGTTGGAAACAGGCCAAGCCCATACCCGGCCTTTCGCTGGCTCTGGCACGACATCCTCTCCTACAAATGGAACGAGCCCCAGCACATCAAACATCCTCGAGCTCACGCACTGAGCTCAGGCGCCGAGCGCGCAACTCTGAGGAGCATAGCCGACGCTTCTTCTGCATCGTTGACTTCTTGGTGACTTTTTATGTCTTGGGCAAAGGCCGCTCCTCATCCAAACGCTTGAGTCGAATCTGCCGCCACATCACCGACGTATCCCTCGCCTCGGCCGCCTCGGGCCTCATCCCCATGACTCTTTGGACAATCAAAACTTATCTGATGGCAAATTTGAGTTGCACTGATCATTTGCGGTTCTTGGGGATCACTCAGAGGACGAGGAGTTCATATGAGCGAGCGGTGGCGGTGGCGGCATTCTTGTCTTACTGTCGCGCCCTACGGGGCAGGCTTCCCAGAGCAACGACGGAGCTTGAAAATGAGTTCGCTGAGTACCTTAATTAGTCACCTCTACCAGTTTCTTTTGCTGGTGGACCATTAGTGACATTAGTGGTCTTCGCAGCTTTCACCCAAGATGCCGTAACTTTCTTCAGACAGCCCAGCCCTTTCTTCGTAACTGGCAGCGTGGGCACCTTCCTCGGCGCACGACTCCAATATCATGGTTGGGCGCACAAGCAATGGCCAGCGCCGCGGTCCAGACCGGCAGAATTGATCTCGCAATCATTGTGCTTCTGGACTTCGCCCTTTTCTCGAGGACCATGGAGCTGTTGGCCATGCAAGGCTGTCATGTCAAGATTTTTTCCTGACCAAGGTCAAGTGGTGATTGCAATCATTTCCAGCAAGACTTCACGGGGACTTCAGCAGTCCCTGTCTCTGAATGAACCGGAGCTGGTTAAAGTACACCGGTTTTCCGCCGGGAATTCGCTGCCCTACTGCCTCAGGCGAGGAGGCGCTACCTTCTTCTATCAACGTACGCAAAGGCAAAGTTTTGGGCAGAACGATCATTCAAGGGCGGTGGAAAGACCAGACCACAGCTCGAATTTATAGTGACGACGCTCGGGCCACCTTGGTACAACTCTTACCCGCGCACGTCACCACCCTTCAGCAATCCCTTGCCTCCTTTTGGCGAATGGCTTTGCCAGGTTGATTGTCTTTGGACGGTTGGCTTGGGAAAGTTGGCAGTTGCATACAGCCGCAAGTGCTGTGTGTGACAACCTCCTACGGGAGAGTCCGTGCATGGGCTAGATAGCTGGATGCTGTACTTGTACTTTTGGCTTCCGGCCCCGCCGCCTTGTGCATGCGTAAATGCACGGCCAACTCTGATGACTCCCAGCTTCTTTGGGTAAAAATCCGAGTTGCACTGAGAATACCTTCAGTGCAGTGGAGCGTAGTTTTCGGAGTGGAGTCAGCAAAAGCCTTTCTCGGTGACTTGGCGAAGTTTGGCTCGCCGCCGCCGCCCTACCGCCTCGTTGGCAGTTGCATACGGCCGTAAGTGCTGTGTGTGACACCCTCCTACGGGAGAGCCCGCCCATAAGCGAGATAGCTGGAGGCTGTACTTGTATTTTTTGCCTCCAGGCCACTCTTTTGCATACATAGATGCACGGCCAACTCTGATCACTTCCAGCTTCTCTGGGTAAATTGCCGAGTTGTACTGAGAAAAAAAAAATATATATATATATATATATAATATGTATATGCATATACGTATGTATCTGTATATGTATATACATATACACATACATGTAAATGAATGTTACCCCCTCCTGTGCCGACGTTTTGGGTTGTTGAAGGAGGAGAAAACCACAGTCATGATTCAAAAGCGCTGGCAACGCAGGGGTTCCTTAGATTAGTGATATAGCTCGCACCCCGCATGACACAACGAAATTGGCACTTGCAGTTTTCGGCAGTAACCAGGATTGGCGTGTCCTTACAACTAGCTCTTTTTACGGTTTTGGCTTTGCAGAAGATCATGTGTTCAAAAATTACCATGACACCACATCTCATGGAGCATAGCTACAAAGAGCCAACCCTCATGCAATCACATTTGTGTTCACGTGCCATAACAGCGCCCTGTCCACACGAGCGAGAAGTAACATTCATGCGTGTATGACATGGGTTCTCAGAATTTTGTATGCATCCGCTTTGTCAAAGACACACGTAACCTGGAAATATTAGCTACGGTGAGAGGAACCTTAACAACAACAGTAACGACAATAGCCGTCATCGCCACTAGCATCATCATCTATGTCACAAACGAAAACAAATCGAACAAGTTTTTTCATGTCGCAACTAAAGCAGAAAGACGACAAGGCTCGGCCACAGGTTCGCGGAGAAGGGCAGTGATGGTGTTGTTTGGGTGTTGAAGCAAACTTCGAGTCAAAAATCCGTATCAAAGGCTAGTATTTACCGACGATGTAGGGAAATCTGCGTTGGGTGCCTGGTTCAATGTTCTATGACGGATTATGTCACGATGCCTGGTACCAGATTTAACATGCGACACTTTTGACTAAGTTTTTTTGTGGATAGCATGTGTTTATTGCTTCATGTGGATATAATATTTGACTACTATTTCACTCGTATGCGCTTCAAACCTTGACTGCTCATGAACCAGTGCTCAATGCCTTAAATCCGAATTATATGGTGCGGCAACCTGCACGTGACACATGTTTGGTTAGATTTCGGCCATATGTAGATATGAAGTTGATCCTGAATCTGTTCTTGTCATTTTTGGCTGAATTTAACTAATACTCTGCTTCTGCATAGTTGCTAATTCATTAATACTGTGGTGTTGATGTTTTTTGCACAGCATGTGCCATGATATGAGTTCTGCGAATTTTTCCATTTACCAGCTTGTCAACATCTAAACGATGAGCAAATAATAACGATTCAACTACTACGTCTTTCATGTTTGTCTTTCTGGTTGTATTGCTGCGCAACAACCGTTTCATTTTTCTTCAGCATTGACTTATCAGTTAGATGTTACACTGGTTTTTCCTAACAGTGCATGTTGAATGATGGGTTATGTAACTATGTCTTCCGCCAAATGCAACATGCGACACTTTTGATGACGGTGTTCTCCGGGCAGCCTGTCTTTATTGATTCTTGTTTACATAATATTACATTATATTACACTATTTCTCGTACAGGCTGAAGACCTTGACTGCCAATAAGATATTCGTCAATACAAAAGCCAGAACCATATGATACGGCAACTTATGTGTAACACATGTTTAGTTAGACTCTGGTCATATGTATTCATGTAGCTGTTGCTTAACTTGTGCTGAGTCCTGAATTGACGTTATGTACAGTACATCTCATGAGACGGGTTCCGCGCATTCTCGCTTTTGTTATTTTGTCCTTCTCTGTGCAACATTGCTTTTTGATATCTAAACGATCGGCAGATATTCATTCAACTACTACGTCTTGTACGAATAGTTGCCGGATCGTTATCTGGTTATTATTTTTGTGCTGAACAATCATTCAAAGCTCTCAGCGATGTTGACTTGCTTGTTAGATGCTTTGTGTTATCTGCATCTTCGCTGCCTAATAATCACCGAGACATGTTGGAATTGTTTGTATATTTGTGTTGAATACTTAGAGTATTAGGTGTACAGCAAATACAAGATAAGTCAGTATGACTGCACGCTATTCAAAAAACAGCTTAAGACAAAGTACCTGCAATCTACAACAAGCGAACTGTGATTATGCATGATGCAAATGTCAACTAACAGTTAACTAGATAATGCTCTGGCGGAAAGTTGATAGTTGCATATTAAGTCATTCAGTGTGCATGAGTAATAACTGCATATGGTACGTTTGATTAACAAATCTGAATTCGATATTGTCTGAAAACTAAATCTAGTAGAGGAATAAACAAATCCTTTGTGAATGATTAGCTAATGACCACCAGCTGGGTGAGATATGAATGGTTTCCGAATATACCCAAACCATCATTACCCTGCATCGTCTACAGGTACCAGCTCTTGAAGAACATTCCTTTATCTTCTCTAAACTCTAGTTAAAACCTTTACGAGAACAGCATCTTTGGAACGAAGTTGCATAACAATAAGCTCCCTCGTGAATTGCACGAGATCACCCAAACCTCGTGTACACATGTGTACACTCGCGCCGGAAGCATGCGCACCCACAGAAAGCAAATTTCCTGCAGAATCCAAAAGTCCAATTGTTTTCGTGGAGATGCCAGAACCATTTTTGGATTTGCATAAGAATCCGAAAATCCATTTCTGTGTCTCATGCAAAACGGGCCACTTTCGGACTCCCGGAGCCGCAAACTCATCCCATACCGCAAAAACATAGGACCTCTCAGAAGAAGGCACCGCAAGGCTTTAAGCAGAAGCAGGTTAATACACAAAAAGATATTCAAGGTTCAGAAGTGGGAGCCCCACAAGAACACGAGACAACGCATCCGAGGTCAAAAAACCTCGAAGGCTGGGACGTTAGGATAGAGATGTCCGAGGCCAAAGCAGCCGTCCAAGGTCAAAGACCCAAGGTCAGCAAAAGGTTGTCGAGGTCAAAGCGAAGACGAGCTCCACGGTAACATCATCTCTCCTGTCAAGATGTACAAGCCAGTGATGTCGAGCTAAGGCCGCACTTGACATCAGCGCCGTCGAGTATGAGCTGGCTCAGGCGTAGATTCGTAAACATGCACAGGGCGCGGCTTGCGAACTGTACTTGGTGCCAAAGAAGCAGCCAAGAAGGCCTGTGGCAGGAGCGGCTCCTGGGTGCTGGTGAAGACTCCAGGAGTCGCTTTCAGAGATGTCGTGTCGCAAGACTAATTGCAACGCGAGCAAGGGTAGCCAATTAAAATGGGGTCGTTGCGTGGCTCAGTTCCTGCAACCGCAGCAGTTGTGTCGGACTGAACCGCAAAGCATACTGGTGCACAGCATAATCCGGAAGCATGATCCATGCACCCCCCACGCCGTCTGCCGACATGGACTCTAAGCCCCATAGCGGCCCTGGTGGTGTTCAAAGTCCGGGGCAGGAGGAGAGTTTTTACGTCACTCCGGAAGCTAAGCGCCCAAGATGGGCACAACTTGTCCAGCCTCACACTCCAACCCCACTGCAGAAGCACATACAGAATAGTTTTCCCCATGCGCGCCCATTCCGGCGCCTGACACCCGTCCCCGTCAATGGACGGTGGACTTTTCCAGGCACGACGGGCAGACCAGACATGACCATTTTTGAGTTTGACTTTGCGATCGTCGGATTAGAGTTGATTAGAGTATGGCGTCTGCCAGGTTTGCGATGACGCACATGATGCTGATGTTGCTGTCCCCAGTAAGATGTGAGGCAAAGAACAAGTCCTATAGGGCTGACCAACGCATGGGAAGTTTGCGCTATGACATTGGTATCAGGGCCCGGAGTTGCAGGATCGATGCTCACGAAAGGGCCGATCAAGTATGTCTCTCATTCCAGGAGCACGACTGCAGTTTTTTTGTCCCAAATGGCAAAATGGCGGTGATGCAAGCTGCTTGTCGGCTTGGCCGTTCAGAGTGCCAGATGAGTGCCGCTTCTACAACAATGTTGACCCCCCGACTGGTAGCAATCTCGCTTGGCTTGCCCGCCCGAGAGACAGAGTAGAAACTCCTTTTAGCACCTGAAAAACTCAACCTTGCAACTTGGCCTCCCTATCCTGTATGCTGCCAGAGCAGGTTTCCTGGCCTTTGTTCGGGGACTTTGGAATGTCGGGCCCGGTGCAAAAGCTTGAAGTTTCGGTGAGGTGTGCGCAGCAGCATTCACCGCTAGAGCGACACGTTCAGTTCTGGATCCATCATGACTCAATGAAACGAGTCAACCCCGGCCCGTCGCTGGCAGCAGGTGTTGTAAGATGGGCTGCTGCCAGGGCAACTTTGAACAGGCCTGGGTTCGGGCTGTGGGGCTCTTTACGCTCTTCTGGCTTCTCCGGCCTTCCGAAATCCCCAGCGCGTGTCCTCGCCGTTTGCTTGTAAAACTCCCGATGTGTGGACCACCGTGGACCCACTACAAAGACGCTCATTTGGATTTTGGAGCTTTGGGGAAGTGTAGGTCCTTCCGAGGCCTTCATTTGGGAACTCCAACTCTCAGTGGCTTAAATCCACATGCCAGCATCATTCACTTGGACCGTGCTTCCAAGAACAACACGCCGTATGTGCCCACCGCTCGGTTGCCTCCGTTGCCGTTTAATTTCAAGGCTCAAGCCGAGTCTCGACCGAACCGATAGATTCCAGGCAATACTGGTGCATCTTCATGGCTATTGGGGCTGCCTGGGTAGCTGGGTGTGTGTGCAACAACTTGTGGTTATTGTGTGCTTAATCTAGGGTGGTGCAACTACTGATCCGAATGCACGGTATCGATGCCGTTCCACATGTGTCTCAACGTGTGTCTGGCACAAGGCACTACTCGACATACCTTGAGCCGTAGATAGGCCCTATCTCCAGCTGAAACAGAGCGAAGTTCGGTCCATGTCCGTGGACGCCGCTTTTGACCATCATGCGGTACTGTCTCCTTCTGGCAGGCTGGGAACTGAATGCGGGTGGGAGATGTTGTGTCCAGAGTCGCGGGAAGTTTCTTGTTCCAGAAGTGGTTGCGCCTACTGGTGGCCATTCATGTTCTTGTCTTCTGAGCAGAGCATCCCTCTCAATGGAGGCTTGAGCCGCCTCAGCCGCGCTTACGCTCAAGACGACTGTCACGCAGGCTTCACTCGCTTGCATGGTGTCCGTGGTTTCATGGAGTTGGAACGCGGGTTGCCGGTCGAGGGTTTCGAGTCTTGGTTTACTGCCGGCTTGACCATGCATTAGACTAGACTCCGTTGTGGCTTGGGATGCCGTCCGTAGCCTCGCAGCGAAGCGCTTGGAACTCAGCTGATATCTGTCCTCGGTACCTGGACTTTGCCTGTGGCTACCCACGAACCTGCGTCCAAGCAAGGTGAGCTACAGCTGCTGCAACGCAAGCTGGATCTCGAGACTTCGGTGGCGAGTTCCACGGAATTCCTGGCAAAAATTAATTCCAAAGCCCTATGCGATACTTCTTTGATATCACGGCTGCAAAGGCCTCTCCGGTTGAGGTGGTTGAACGTCAATCCCTGAAGATGTTTCAAGCACAGATGTGCTTCATGGGGCCTTCAAACTTGGGTCCGAACAACACGCTACAAGTCACCCGTGGCATCGTCCATGCTGGTTCTCATTCTCATCACTTTTTCATGATTTGCCAAGGACAGCAGTACTTGCTGCTGATGGCAAGTACCCTCTAGTAAAGAACATGCTCGCACGTGACGAGAATCTAAAGTTTTTTTAAGGAGCCCTTGGTCTTGCCACAGCTTCGAGCTGCCGAACCCATCAAGTGGCTGCGCCTTGCCAGCAATAGCGCCTGTTCCAGCCTTTAAGGGGCCTGGTCTTCACAGAGTCTGTGATGAAGACTCGAGGGCGTGAGGCTCGGAGGCTCGCTCTCCAACAGGTGTAGGGGCTGACAGCAGGTAGTGCGGCCGAGCAGGCTCACGGACCATGCCATGAACTTGATTGGCAGGTGTCGCTCTCCCCGTTGCGGAATGAGCCCAGTATAAGAAAATGCTTCCCGCGGTACCAAGTATGTCTTCGTTAAATCTGAAGGGCTCTTGGGCCGTTCGATTTGAGCTGCTTGATCTTGCAGTGTACAAAGAATCGAATCACGAAATGGCTCGCAGCACCAAGGCACATCCCCAAATGTGGAACCTCCTTCTTGAGTCTTGGATGAGCATTTGTCTTGGGATCGGTACGCTCCAGGCCTGCAGGCCTTGCTTGAGAGAACGTGCCATCTGCCCCACCAGGTTGCCACTACTACGCAAACCCCACAAATTTGCCTGATGGAGTGAGTCCAAGCAGAGCGTGGCGGGTGCATGTGCACTTGGGATCATGTCCGTGAATGTGGCTGCGATGACAACCTTGTGGATAAAGTGGCGAACGGTCGTTGCTAGGAAATACAAAGATGCAGAAGTGCTCTTAGTAAACGACGTCTTTGAAGCTATGCCCGAACCTCGGTCGCGACCACCGAGGAATGCCTTGATTCACCTACCATCGGTTTGCCCTGGTGTGAGCCAGGGCTCAAGACATGTTTCTGTCTGCTGTTCTACGGCAGAAGGAGGAAAACTCCCGGCTTGATGCGAATCCCATGCATTGTCTTCAGCTCCAGGAGTCAAGGCTTCCTCGGTTTCAGGTCATGCATCCCTGTAATTCCAAGCACAGCCCTGGCAAGCCTTGAAAAGGCTGTGTCCCTTCCCGTGGTTCTCGTGGGGTCCTTTAAGAGCCTTTTCTCTGGCAGGTACGGCGAGAATCCAGGATTTTGGATCTTCAGTCTACTTCAGCTTTTCCACAGCCACATCCGTTGAAGAGTTTCTGTCGGGCCGGACTCGTGCTTCAGCCTAGCAGCAAGGGCCTGGAATCCGACTTGGTGGCACTAGATTTGGATTTGAGACCCTTCACCCTCTCCATTCACGGCGGCATAAATGCTCACATTAGCGTACATACGTGGAGTTCTTATCTTGAAAAACCGAGGCTTGTGCTAGCTGCAGGCTGGGAAAACGGTGTCGTTTCTCTCGGAAGCGACCTGCGAAGGAACGCATCTTACCGCGTGGATGACAAAGTGCTTGGCAAGCACTTCGAGGAGGAGTTCTTTCGCGAGTGCCCCGAGGCCTGTACTCCCGGTGACGAGCTCCTACTGCTGTTCGGGCTTGCGAGCACTCTTCCCCTGCCCGTTCTTCCTGCTGCACTAGGGGCATTTTTGTGCCGCAGATTCATTTGTCGAGGTAAGCTTTTCTCGGGAGACCAAGTCTGCGTTTTGGATATAGGCGTCTTGTTGACTTTTTGTTTGCCTGGTTCGCGACATGGGATGTTGTGCGCTCGAGACTTGCTAGTTGGCCTGGACAATCGCACCAGTTTTGAATTGCAAATGCTTGAAGCCGGAAGGTCTGCAATACAAGCAAGTTCAACTGCGACTACGGTCACCATGTGCCTTTGGCACACATCTCTTTGAATGGCAACATCGGGAATGGAAAATTGGGGTTTGCTGTTTGGCCGCAGGTTTGCGGTTTATCGGGACGATGTGCATGGCCATTCCCTGCATGCACGGGACGTCAACGCCCCAAAAAGACCATCTTAAGCTAGCTACAGAAGCTTTCAAGCACCGAAACCGCCCAGGAAGGCATCGGAACAAGCTACGAGATGGAGCTGAAAGGCGTCAAGAGTGGTGGATCGTTTTAGCTTGGAGTGTCATCGGGATCAAAGAAGGCTCGATACTGGGCCGAGGTGCTGTTGCTCTTCAGCCTAGTTTAAAAGCGGGAACAGTGCCAAATTTGCGCGCCCGTAGGGACACGGAGCAAAGATGAGGTCATGCATAGAAGGAAGATGAAGGAAGTCTGGAGTGTTCTTTCGGGTGTTCTTTTGAGACGTACATAGGCACATCGGCTTTCGGGCTGTCGCTTGAGAGTCTAGATTGACCCGGTTTGGACTGTAGGTTCCGGTTGTTTTCGGCATCATAGATGCGGATGAACTGTTTATTGAGCTTCGTGCCCGGGAACTGAGGAAGCCTGCGCTCACTTCGACGGACATTGCATCCCTGCCTGAAGCTGGCTACATCCTACACCTTCCTGTAAGCAAATCCTTGCACCGGCCTGGTCTGTTCACCTGGAACATCCCGGAAACTTCCTGACACCCTGATAGGTCACCTGGTGACCATGCTCAGGGAGCCAAAGCAACGCATCCTCTCAGCGTTCCAAGGCTGTGCTGGAAGTAGCTTTTGCAAAGACTTGTTTTCGTAAGTGTCCAGTTGCAGGTTCGCGGTGCTCTCAGGGTCCTAAGACAATCAAGGACTGACATAGCGTCACCACAGACACTGTTATAGGGGAATGCGGGCGCTTGAACCTGCGTTCGGCCAATTTGCCAAGGTTTCATGATCCAGTCTGGACACACGGCGTTGCCGGTGAAAGCGCGTCTGGGGACCTATTCCGCTTCAGTGCCTCACAGCTTCTGGCAAAAGAAATCCCCCCAAGCTGCAACACCCTACAAATGCAGGTCTCGGCCGATGGCTCTTGCTTGAGAACTCAGGTCGGTTCTTTTCTCCGGCCGCGGTAAAAGCAAGCGACAAAGAGTAGACCAACAGACAAACCGCCGGTGTCAGATGTCGTGTGACATGCTTCTGCCTGGAAAAGGAATTCCCAGCAAATCGCAGAAAATTCACAGATTCCATAGCAAGAGCAGCGAAAGCCATGGCCGAGCTCGAGAGGATCAGCCTGAACTTGCTTCGGCCATCTGGCAGCTGCACTCCTTTGGTCGTCCGTCGGATGGAAACAATTTCTCAGGTGAAAGACCGGGTCGCGGAAGTCATTCCTGCTTGTCGCCACGACATGGAATTGTTACACAACGATCTTCGCCTTGACAACAAGCAGACTATCTTGCAGTGTGGCATCAATGAGGGCGATGCGCTTACTGTTCTTGTCCGCCAACTGTCCCGGATCGACTTCGACGAGGCAGTGCAGACTCTCAACACCATGCGAATCTGCGGGGTTTAGAATGAATCCTGACCCTCGATGTCGATGCGGGATGTTCAGCGCGTGTCGCTGCGTTCAGTGTTCACCTCGATTGCCAAACTCCTTTGCGTCTGCGGACTGACGTGCGAATAGTGCAGGAAAACAAGCGCGCGTGCAAGGGGAGTTTGCCTCGGCATTAACCTTAACCCGCTGCTTTCGCAGGTTAGGGAGACGAATCTTAGGAGGGGACGGGGTTGTCGACACAAGCTCGAAAAGAAGCATCCTGCCAGGGGGAGGCCACCTCGTCATATTACTCATTATGACTCATAGTCATAGTACTGAACTCCGACGACTCACTGCAATCTCTTCGGGCCCTCTGCTCATTGCGAGCCACCAAACATCCAGTCACGCTCTCTAAAAGAAGAGCTGCAGTCAGTCGACCAACTGCTTGGGACCTCGAAGTGCATGTCATTCCCCAAACCGACGAGATTGCAAATCTCCAGACAGTGCGATGGGCGGGACATGCCAGCACATCATCAACGTGAGCACTGAGCACCACAGACATCATGTTTGCCCTAACCTTTCTTCCGATAATCGTGGAACCAGGCCCCTTTCAGAAAATGTGGATAGAAGTCCGCAGCTGGTTTTTGAATCGCTGCTAAGGGCCAGCTATGCGGAGAAGCAGCGAGGTCAGCGGGAATTCGTGTTCTTTAAACAGTTCCAGGCTCCATAAACTCTGAGCTAGAGTTCTCGAGCAGCTGGAGTTTGCAGAGAGCAGCTAAAGAAGGAGCTACCACATGCTAGAGATCCCACAGCATAATCGGAAGTGAGATGTGGAGCTTTCCTTGAATTGAGCTCTGAAGGTGGCATGACGTGTCAAGTGATGCGCGACGGCGACATGGACCCACCGCCCAAGGAGCTTTGTACTCTGATTCTCGCACGTATCTGTACAGTGTCCTCTTCTGCGCTGAAGGGGCGTCCCGTCATTCGACAGTTTACAGCAGAATGTCGGGGCCGTGGGTTTGCCATTGGACTCAAAGTTGCGCGCAATCGAGACTGCAAGTGAAACGTCACCCTTTGCACAGTTTTACTGTACCGTGGGTAAACTTGCGGTATTTTCCGCGGCAAGGAGTGCCATGAGCTGACAGAGGCGGACTGCTGGGTTTGCAGGTGAAAATCTGACCCTTGAATCAGCATCGCCCTGTGGGCCAGGAACTGGGCCAGCTTACGTCCGCATAACAAGACCGCTGAACGGCTGCTCTGCGGCCTAAACCAAAGTTTCAAAGTAGCTCTCTGAATCGCACACCTGACAAGCTCTGCAGTTTTCCTAAATGCGAGGCCGACGCGAGATTGGCAGCAGTCAGGCTGCGGGAGGGGTTTGCGCGGCGGCCTCAGTGGAGACAGGAATGTCCGAAACGCCTCAAATGATCTCCTCCGATGGCTGAACAGTCAGAAGATCGGACTTGAGCTTCGAGGGTTTAGCCGGGTCTTCCAGTGAAGCTGCTGGTGAACCTGAGCTGGTCATGCAACAACTTTTTGGATGCCCCCGACTCCAGACCCCACACCTATCGCCTCATGCATCGCAATCAAGACCAGAAGAGTTGATGGCATGTAGGTGTTGCGCCGTTCCCAAAAACGAGAACCCCCAAAAAAAGGAAGCCAGAGACCTGCTCTCGTTCATGTAGCCATGTAATAGAGCTCTGGAGATATGACCTTCGAAGTAGCGTCTTCCATCGAGCCAAAAAACCTATGCAGCGATCTGAAGCGTTGGTTTCGGCGGCATTCAGACATCCCCTGAACCTCCAGGTACTAGACAAGCCACTAAGGCCTAAAGTTACACTGGTCATTGCAAGGTTTGTCGGGATCACGGACGAGTGGGACTTGTCCATCTGTTTGCTCCACCGCATCTTCGGAGGCGTGCACATGTATGTCGTCAGAGGCAGGCACAACGGGGCCAACCACACATGCCGGACCGAGGCTCTTAGCTTAGGAACGTGCTGCTGTACCTGCACTGTTTTGGCACCGTTTGCAACTCGTCGGCCGAATCATGCTGCACGAGTAGAAGAACGGCAAAACTTGTGACGCTCATGATGGTAATTGTTGTTGTTCAAGTAGCAGGACATGACCGTTCTCAGGCCGCTCCAAGAGCGAACTGACACAAGCCTGAACCCTTGTTCAGCAGGCCGTGGACCCTAAAAGACTGTGGTCGCGACATATTTCGCACATGTCAATTGTGACTTAGCTTGCTGCAGAAGCGGAAATCGTGGCTCCAATCAACGTTGTAGTTGACCCTTACATCCCTTACCTTTATCCCCATACGGGTTGAGTTTTTTTGCGGCCCCCGTAGGGCCTCTTTTGGTACTGTCGGAATGGCTTCTTCTCTGCCTTAAGTAAGCCCGGCGCTCCACAGCTTCTCGAGCACGCATAGGGTCGAAAAAAGCATTCTCTCCCACGCACGGGTTTTTCTTTTACACCGCCGCGTGGCAGCGGACAGGGGTTTCATTGCCCCCTGTGCAGCCCGAACCAGATTCATGGTTCCCGAGATGTTGGAATAAAAGCCCTCCTAACCTAACGCCAGACTTTAAAAGATCGGTTTGCGCACCCCTCCCTCAGCGGCAATGGGATCTACTTGGGCCCTGTGGGGGGCTTGAACTGGCCCCGGAAGCAAAAGGAACAACTGAAGCCTCGAGGAAGGCATAAAAAACCTTGACAGGCCGCAGAAGGCTTTGTTTACTCTGACAAGGCTTCATTCAGATATGCCGAGCCTCGCCGGTGGTCTTCGAACGCAAAAGACACTGTCACGCCTTTTCCGGCTCGGGCTGCCTTCCGGTACCCTGCCCCCAGGTCCGCTGGCCTACTGTCGCATACTGGTAGAAACAACAAGTTTCAGAGTACTTTAGTTATCAAAGCCATTACATCACCGGGGCTGCGCCGCCATTGTGCCTATCATGGGTCCCAACCCCCCGCTTTCTGTTTATGCCGTGCAGGCTTGCTTTCAAGAACATCGCACCATCAACAAGGAATTGTTTCAAACACATAATTCGTACATAAGTATTTAAAACTCATCATACAGGCAGACTGTTTGACAAATGGGGGGCGTCCCCCCTGCAATCTCCTCGCTTTTTGAAGCTGTGCAAGATCGCTTCAAGTATCATCTTGCCAGCAGAGACAGAACACATATGGACACTCTCAGAACCCGTGAAAAGACATTGTGTTTGCAAATGGGGGGGGCTGCGCCCCACCCAACCTCCCGCTTTCTTTTTTTATGCCGCAGGCTTTCCTTCAAGAACATCGCACCATCAACAAGGAATTTATTGTTTCAATCACATAATCCGTGATGAAGACATTGTGCTTACAAATGGGGGGGGCTGCCCCCCCCCCCCAACCCCCCCCGCTGTCTGTTCATGCCGTGCAGGCTTTCTTTCAAGAACATCGCACCATCAACAAGCAGTGCGTCAAACATCTAATTCTTATGTAACTTTGCAAAACTCATCATACAGGCAGCCTGTTTGACAACTGGAGGGCTGTGTCCCAACCCGCGCGCTGCTTTAAGCTGTGCAAGATCACTGCAAGTATCATCCTGCCAACAAAGACAGAACCCATACGGTCCCTCTCAGAACCCGTGACAATTCAATAGACGTTGTGTTTGCAGGGCCCGACATGCTCAGACGAAGCCCTCATGGGCACGAAAAAAGCCTTTTGGGGCCGTGCAAGCAGTTCCCCAACAGCTTCAGCTTTGGGGTCTTCAGCCTTTTAGCTTCGGAGCAGATCGGAGAGGGCCCCGGAGCAGGGGTTCCGGAGCGGGGTTCCAAGTTCGGGAGCGGGCCTCCGGAGCGGGTTCCGGAGCGGGGTTCCAGGTTCCGGAGTTCCGAAGCGGGTTCCCGAACCCGCTCCGGAGTTCGCTCAGAAACACACTCCGCAACCCGCTCCGCAACCGCTCCTGAATTCGTGCGGATCCGGAACCCGCTCCGCAACCGCTCCGGAACAATTCGCTGCAGGGGTTGTGGAGCGGATTGCGAAGCGGGTTGCGGAGTTGAATTCCGGAGCAGGTTCTGGAGCCGGTTCCGGAGCCTGTTGCGGAGCCGGTTCATGAGCAAATTCCGGAGCGGGTTCCGGATCCGGAGCAGGTTCCGGAGCGGGTGTGGAGTGGGTTCCGGAACGGGGTTGTGGTGCGGGTTCCGGATCGGGTTTGGGAGCGGGTTCGGAACTGAATTCCGGAGCGCGTTCTGGAGCGGGTTCCGGAGCTTGCAAATCGTCCTGGCACGGTAGATGTGTTGCAGACGACAAACAAAAAGTTGTGCGTTCTGTTGTTGGAGATTCCTGCTGGGATTATTTTTTGCTTTTCTTAAGGGTTCATTTGCAAGACTTTTGCAAGTGAGCATGAGGAGCCTTTTCGGGTGTGAAAAAGCCCCGCCCCTGCAATGATAAAAGCCCCGACTTTGGGCACGGGCACTTCGTGAGTTGTTCCCATTGTGCACCGTGCAACAGCAGGAAGCGTAACAGCGCGCGTTTCGCAGGCAATCAACCGAATCCTGTTCTCCACAAGCAACAGGCAACAGCCACCGTGCTTGCACCACTGCTTGGAGAAGAACTGCAGCGCACAAGAGCAAGAACAAAATCAGCGGTCCTGGTACAAGCCAGGTAGTACTCAAGTAACAGAATGTGTAGTAGCCACAGAAATTACAGTAACAATGGCCACCGTTCGCACACCGTTTACGAAAATCACATTGACTATCGCACAGTATGGAGATTGGAGGCTGATTTGATCCGATAAGATTGAACACCCAAGCTTGTAGAACTTGCGGACGACCTGACCAACAGAAGACTGTTCCCTCGGTCAGGAGATTGCCTGTTGTCCGACTTCGAGGACAACAGACCGAGCCTCGGACGAAATTGCAGCCAGGTATCCGGTGGAAGTATTGAACAGGGTCGTCAATTTGCCTGCAATAGAGGCAGGACACAGTGTTTTGTTCTGCAACTCATGGACGCATCCGCTTCGTGAGAAAAGCATTCGGGACCGTCGGGGGTAAGAAGATTGGCGACGGCCTGCGTTTCCAGTAATTTAGGATCTAAGTTATGAGATGGACAGAGCAAGGGCATCACATGGGAAGAGGCAGCCTCCATTATGTATATCAAGACTTGATTTTGGCTCTGCAAATGCAATGGCTCTCGAGTTATCAGGGCCTCGAGACCGAGTTGGGCCGCCGGATGAGCCATGTGGGTGAGCGAGGAGCATGGGATTGTTGCATCCAGTACTTACTCTTTTGGCATGCTTGGCCAAGACACCAGTCACCAGGGTCTCGAAGCCGCGAAGCCAACAGTTTCTTATTTAGTAATTGGCTAAGGAGCGTGGAGGGCGCCAAGCACTATCACATCTACAATATCTTAGAACTGGAGGGCTATGAAGATCCCGTGGACCGCGGCTCTGCAGCAACGGCTCCCAACCCATGGCGCTTGCTGGCGTCGTTACAGCTTACTGAATAAGGGCTTCGAGCCTTTGCAATGCATGTATGAAGTTCATGATGGTGTACAGCCGCTGCGATTGCAAATCGAAGGCATCTTGTACAACGAAGCCAAACAGATATTCTTCGAGAAGCGCCTGGCCTACAATGCGACCCCGGCATGCAAAACATCGGATTCGGGCTTTGGCTTGTGAGCGATGGCAGGAAGTGTCTTAATTGCTGCGGTCGGGTTCATGGCATCGGGCAATAACAACAGCACCACGGCGACGAGCACCTTTGGTGCTGCTACCCACAATGGTTTTTCGGTAGAGCTTTATTTTGCTGTGGGCTTAAACCCACCGCCGCACAGGTGACAATGGAGTCCTGTCAGCCGTGCTTCCAGCAGCCTTGCACGCAAATACGGCCAGGCATGCATCGTAATGTGCACTCGCTAAGTCCATGGGTTTTTTCGCCGAAGTCGTTTGACCGCATTGTTTTTCCCAAAATGCCACCGGTTGCCTCAAAGCGAGCATCCTGGAAATCTGCTTGCTGCGTCGACACCTCGACGGCCAATCCTCAGGAATCCCTCGAGGCTTTGTATTTCGTTTGTTTGAGTCAGTTGACGGATAAACAGCCTTTGTGCGGACTTTTCGAGTTCACCGTTGCCAAGTTAAACGGAGGGCTTCTTCGGTCTCAGGCCTGAGGTGGTTTGGAACTAGACTTAGGACCAGGGTGTTTGTGACGACTTATTCTTGAGGTGTCGAAATCTCGGATCCAAATTCTTGCCTCACACCAGATCGCCAGTACTGCCAGTACTTCCACCAGATGCACAAGAGCAGCCCAGGGCGGTAGAGTTGGGTTTAGTTGAGTTGACTTAGCTGGAGGGTACACCATGGTAAACAAAACAACCTTCCTTCTTGTGCGGGCATCGACCTTGAGAAGAGTGATGTTTCAAGTTGTACGAAAGTCCCCGACCGAGGAGCGCCAACCACATCTTTCGTCCATTGAGCGTCGATGGGATTGAAAAAGGCTCGTTCTTGAGTGGGGGCACGAGGTCCCGGTGAGGCTTTACTCACCCGGCACTGGATTCTTGAACTTCGACACTATGTAGCAGAGATTTGGTCAAGGGCGTCAATTTCAGGTTCAAAGTGTCGTTGTCTTGTAGTGAATCTTCCGACCCCCAGACTTCCCAGAGACATTCTGCCAGCCCGGAAACTAGAGTCATTAGAGATCTCGCTTCGAATCCTCCTATCCAAGCCCTGTTTCAGGTTACGCTGGCCGACCCGATGTTCGCCTGATCCTCGCCGCGGCTTTGCTTTTCATTTTACGACTCGGGTAGCTTGCGAGCTTAGCAAAGATCAGAGGCGGCGACCCGAAAACAAGCCGTTGGTTGCTCTGAGTCCACATGCTACCAGTAAGACCCGTAACTTAACAAAGATGGAAGAGCATGACGGACGCACGCTAAGGAGTCAAGGGTCGCCAACATCCCCTCGTCGCAAGAGTTCTTGGAGATTTGATACCTATCATGTTTTCAGGTTGGAGTGGAACAGGTTCAGGATGTGGGTACGTCTTCTGTTGTGTCTGAATCGCGGGTGCATGTCTGCTGGGTATATGCATGTCCGCTCGGGTTTTTGCACATTCAAGTAGCTCAACGTCCCTCGGCAAAATCAGAGAAGAGAAGGCATTCCATTGTGCAGGAAGCTTTGATTCATGACATTGGCAGCCCTGCTGTATTCCATAAGCCATTCCCCGAATCCGGGTAAGGGCCGAACAGATGATCTTAACGGATGCAAGGATATGTCGCTCCCAGTGGCAAAAGCAAGCCCAGCCATGAAAATGCCAGCAGCCCCACAGCACTCTTGTGACCCTAGTGCAAGCCTGCATATTCAGCTGCAGATCCTCAAAGCACGGCCCAAAGCCCAACACTTCAGAGAAAAACACGCTGAACCAACCCTACACCTCGCCCATAGCCGCGATAGCCACAAGCCCAAGTTCCAACCCCAACAATTGGCGTCCCAAGCCCAGATCTCGCAGAGGTGCAGAAAGACTTGGCCTGTGCACGGGCAGAGAATGAAGCTCTCAGGAACGAGCTTTCCGACTTCTCACGGATATTAAGTTTCCAGGCCTTTAGAGCTGGATTAATTTAGGGGTTGGACAGGGTTGACGATGACATACAACCAGCTGTTGAGAGGGAGAGTGGCGCCTGCCGGCGCGTTTCTTTGGTAGTTTCCACTTTCGAACAGAGTCACAGGTCCTGCGGCTGGGAAGGGGCCAACCTCCAAAGGTTTCAGGGGTGGCCTTCAAGAGCTTGTTTCGAACCCAACAACTCCGGAACTGGATTTCAAGCAGAGAGACCATCAAAGTAGCCAGGGCCGAAAACGCAAAGCTCCGAAGCCAGCTGCCGGGGCCTCGATTCCTGCTCTGGGACTTTGCGCCCTTCCCTTCCTATCTGTAGCTCTTCCTGTCCAGGAGACTCTCAACTGAGCTTTCTGCGAACTCAGGCAGCATGGGCGGAGCGGCGCGGCAGTGCGCTCAGCCTTTTCTCATCACCGCGGGTTGCCCCTGTGACTGGCCGAAGCGTTTGCCAACGAGCAATACAAACACAGCTTGCCACTGTGCCTGTGCTCAAGCTGATCAGACTATCCGACGCTTTGAGGCATCACCGTCAGCTGTCCGCGTGGAGGCTCCGATGTGGGGTCGGTTCAGAAGAAGCGTTCCGGCGAACAGAGAGCAGTGCCTGCACAGTCATCTGAAGGAGTGGTTGCTGCGTTCAGTTGACGGTCCAGGGGACACATGTGCAATGAAGCTGGGAACATGCCGCTTCCCGGCCCCACCTCCGCATGGGAGCCTTCCCTTAACCCAGGATTTGATGTTTCATCTAACTCACGCCTGCCTTAGGACCTTACTGTACGAGTTCATGGTATCTGCTCGTTGCAGGCTCCGACGGCCCCTTCTGCCGCACAGGCTCGGTGGTATCACATGAAATTTCTCGGAGAATGTCTTGTAGGTGACACAGAACCGCAGCAGTGCGAACAGTCCCATGGAGCTGTAGTAGGTGGGGATGCGCTTGTTGAGGTGTGCATGAAGCCGTGACGTCTTATGCATGATAGGGCAGCTTCCATGCTGCCGGAACGAATCCTGACACGGCCGGCTCATTCTAGGTAGGCCATGGCAGATAGATATCGGACAAACATGACTTAACAGGAAGATACCGGCAAGATGCGGATCTGAGCGGGAGGATACTGGGAAACCAATATGAGTAGTATGAGTTGAAGTTAAGTTGCTGAATCTGTGGGCTAGCTTCTGCTCCGTCTTTTCATGTCATGTCTCGCTATCAAGAGTTGCTCGATAGGTTAATGATTAATTATTCTTTCACGTATTAGTATTACTACTGGTATTCGTAGTCGTATTTTAGTATTAGGAGTATTAGTATCAGTATCAGTATTCGTAGTAGTACTAGTGTTAGTATTAGTGTCATCGTTGCCGTCCTCGTCGTCGTCGTCGTAGTAGTAGTGGCAGTACTCGTCGTCGTCGTCGTTGTCG